CGGGTGAAGGGTGGCAGGCGGGCAGGCGGCAGCGAGCCCCCTGTGAAGATGCCAGCCTGGACACAGTACTCCACCTGGCAGCTATCGCTGATGAGTGCCAAGTGCTGGCTGAAGCCTGGGGGGCAGCTCTTGGCGTGGGGGTCTTCGGCGGTGCCCTGATGCTGCCCTGCCAAGGGGTTCCCTGCCTGGCAGCTGAAGAAGCCCCCAAAGGGCACCGCATACTGGCCTCCCCCTTCATAATCCTGGCTCACGCACACCCTGAGCTCATCAAAGAGCTTCAGTGGGAAGTACCCTGAGGGGCAGGACTGGGCACCGGTGATAGAGTTGATGCTGTGAGCGCTGAACAGCCCCCCAAAGAGGTATCCCAAGCTCGGGGCCACTGGCCCGCTCATTGCGCACCAGTAGGCACTGAATTGCACCCGTGAAAGCCAGAAGACGTCCTGGCACTCGCGGTGGCAGAAGATGCCCAGGATGCACTTGTTGTGGCACTCCAGATGGCTGTGGCCTTCCTCCCGCTCCTGCATGCCCAGCAGCACTGGAGTGTAGGTGGTGGGGCAGGAGAAAGCCCCAGTGAGGGGGTTCCTCTGCTCCAGCCCCCGGCACAGCATGCTGGTGTCGGGGCCGGCCAGCCCAGCACACTCCTGGAAGACTCCCCCGAAGGTGAAGTTGGTCATGGCACCCTCACAGGAGCCATCATCGGCATTGGCATGGAAGTTGAAGTTGGGCGAGGTGGCGTCGGTGCAGCCCGGGTAGGTGTTGAAGGTGTAGTAGCGGCGGATAGCCATCTCCACTCGCCTGGCCAGCTTCTTCACTGTGGGGGTGGGCAGCTCTGGCAGGGTGCTGGGGTTGATGAAGAAGTACAGGGGCAGCCCTGAGCGGTCAAGAGCCACCAGCTCGTTTCTGATCCCCTCCTGCCAGGTCTTGAGGGTGATGCCTGGGTAAAAGGGGGTCCCACCGATGCTCTCTACCCTGGAGTTGGTGCGGTTCTCCAGATACTGCTTAGTGAAGCCAGAACTGACATCCAGGGACTCCTCATTTTTCACACCGACGATGCTGTGGAAGGCCACGCCGGCTGAGGCGGTGACAGCACTCCGTGTGGCCCAGCTGTCCTTCAGGAAGGTTGCCTTGATCTGATCCTCCTGCACCAAGCTGGCTCCAGCGTCCACGGAGGTGATGGTGTGGGTGCCATAGTTAAGCACCAGCACCTCGGCCAGAAAATCAGCCATCCGTGTCTGGTTGTTCTCCAGGTGGCTGGAAATTGTCAGCAGCTGCTTCTTGAAGCTCTTGTCCAGGACCGCCCCTGGGTCAATCTTGGCAGTGTAAACCAGGTTCCTGACTTGCACTCGGGTGGTGACAGCACGGTCTTTCACTTGGTGGGTCTTGGTTCGGTGGAAGTCATAGGAGAACTTGCCATTGATGGAGGAGAAGAGGGACAGCTCCAGGTTGATGGAGGCAGAGGTGATGCTTTGGTAATCTTTCCAGGACTCGATGATCTCAGAGTTGATGTCCAGGTTGCTCTGCTTGCGAGGGATAGTGAAGATCTCATCTGGGATGATATAAGATCCGTCTTCTGTGGTCTTGCACAGTGAGTAGCCCAGGTTGATAACTCTGCCCATATCCAAATTCCTGAGGTTATCCCAGCCCCCCCCCGGCAGGACTTCCAGACTTGGGAGCTTCAGGGCCTTCTTGCACTCCGAAAACCCCGCAGAGGACAGCTTCTGGGACTGCTCAGCCCCTCTCACCAAAGCCACCAACATCCAGGCAAGCAGGACCCCCCAAACCACCCAGCCCATGGCTGAACCAATGCAGGGTCCTCACTAGACGTCTGAGCAGTGAGGCAGGAGCTGGGGAAATGAGCTGGCTGGGGGGTGCAGCTGCTGGGTAGTTCCTCCTTTTGGGGGTTGAATTAACAAAAAGGAAAGGAGAAGTGAGAACTGATGAATGTGAGAAATGACTTAGTGGAGCTGAGACAAGCGGGTGGGGAGCAGAAAGTAGAGGTGCCTAGAGCTCATTGCCTCCCTGTTGCAAAAGCTCCCTCTCCCCATGAAAGCTGCTCTGCTGGGGATGGGGCAGTTAGAAATCTTGCCTTCAGCTCTTCACTGTGCCCAGGGAATTTCACTGTGTGAATCTCCCTTCACCAGTGCTTGGGTGACTCCCCCAGATGAATGCACTCTACCCTTAAGTGACCCTGGCTCCTTCGTGCCATGCAAGGGACCTGTCCCCAGCCCCACGGCCTTGGGGTCCCACTCACATGATGGGGTGAGATCTGGCCCTGGTCGCATGGGCTTTGCTCCTGCCTCCAAGGCTTTCATCCGCAGCAGGGGCAAGGAGAAGAAGCGGGGAGGTGGTGCAGTGTGGTTTCAGCGTGGGGGACAGTGCAATGCTTGTCTCCCTTCTCTCTTGGGGAAAAGGCTGCCCACGACCCTGGGGCAGGCACTGGTGGGTTTGGAGGTCCCCC